AGAAAAGTAAATTTTTGTTTGTATATGCTGTCAATTATAGTTCTTAGAAAGAAAATCGGAATCGGCAAAAATCGGTATCGGCAGATCACACTAACGAAAAATTGGAAATCGGAATCAGCCAAGAAAATTGCAATCGGTGCATCTCTAGTCGTGGGCCCTGTGTCTCACCTGGTTGCCTGTTAAAGGCAACATTGCCCTGCAACATTGCTCAAAAAGTTTCCCCCTTGTATCATCACCTGAAAAGATGGACACAGACAGAAAGATGACATGAAGGACAAATGGTACCAAAAACGGAGAATTAAGACAAGCAGAAAACACAACAGAAAGAGCAGATGATAAAGAGCGGAAAAGATGAATGAGAAAACAAAATCGCTGATGTTCCACAAAAAAAAAAAAAGACATGCACTGTGACGAGGAAAATGCAAATACACAGGGTCCGCAAAATGTATCTGAACATTTTTTGAGTCTGAAGTCAAAATGTCACTGCATTACATACAAAAAAAAAATCCAATCAAGTGAAATCTGAAAACACGATACTAGAGGTTTTCACTGAACTTATTCCGCTTTTGAGAGCACCTTTTCAACAGTTTTTTAACAAACTGGTTTTGAGGTAATTTTTTCAGTTTAGTTCAAGTTTGACAACCAGAAAGTGTCAAATAAATTTTTTTCGGTCTTAATTTTAAACAATATATTTCTAGTTCCATACTCTGAAATCTAAAACTTTTTTTGTTTATGTTTGAAAATTGTGTTTGTGCATTATATCTTTCAAATATACACTACTGTTCAAAATTTGGGGGTCGTTAAGATTTTTTAAAAAGGTTTTTAAAAGATGACTCTTATGCTTGCCAAGGCTGCATTTATTTGATCTAAAATACAGTAAAAACTGTAATACTGTGAAATAGTATTACAATGTAAAACTAACTTTCTATTTTAATATATATTACTATGTCGTTTTTTTCCAGTGATGGCAATGCTGAATTTTCAGCAGCCATAACTCCAGTCTTCAGTGTCACGTGATCCTTCTATTATTCTGATTTGGTGCTCAAGGAACATTTCTTATTATTATCATGTTATGCTACTATTATGTTGTGCTGCCTAATATTTTTGCAGAAACTGAGATAAATTTTTTTCAGAATTATAGTCAATAGAAAGTTCAAAAGAGCAGCTTTTATTTCAAATTAAAATCTTTTGTAACATTATAAATGTATGTACTGTCACTTTTGATCAATTTAAAGCATCCATACCGAATAAAAGTATTAATTTCTGTCTTTCAAAAAAAGGTTTTTGAACATTAATGTATGCTACTTGTCACACAAATTCATTCATATATTTTTATTTGTGGCTTAAGTGTTCAAATACTTTTTAGGGCAACCGTATCTTGACGTGTGCACTCGCGCTCACCTGAGCTCAGAGTTGTTGTGATTGACTCGTCATTTAGAGGAGGATCCTCTTCATAAGACTCTTCGTCCATCTCCTCCTCATCTACAGAGGTCCAGGCACGGAGCTTCGCCTCTGCAATGGCAAACTGCTCAGCCACACCTAAAAAAACAAGAATGGTATTGAATGACCCTGGAGTTTACACAATGATGCCAATTAAACAGATGGCAGTGCAACAAAATCTCTTTTGACATGACGTAGAAGTTTACTCGTGATGCTTTTGTTCTGATTGAAAAAACTCTGCTGCTGAGAGACTCAGGTTTTGCTGTTAAATGCCACCCTAACTCAGCAGCCACGTTTACTGCAGCCAGGAAACTGATGACAGCCAAACATGTAGCAGAGTATAAAAGCTGCCGAGAAAAGTAAAGTCAAAGGAGGAGAGCTAGAAGACAGGATTGAAGTAAACTGACATGCAGGATCAGCAGGTGTTGCTGTGTGACTGTGTAATCTAATTTAACACCATCTGCTGAGTCTAAAACCCTTCAGATGGCACATTACGGAGGGGCTAAAGTTGACTGACACTTGATAAAATTCCTTACTGTTGCATTATATATTAATGTTAATTATATTCATTATAATGTTATATATTTATTATCATAACATGAAATATATTAGACAGGCAGAAAGACAGACAGAACACAGTTGCTAGATAGATAGATAGATAGATAGATAGATAGATAGACAGACAATTACTACATAACTTACAGTGATTAATAATAATTACATAATTAATATGAGGTAAAAAAAACTGCATATATGTATAGGAATGTATTATATTATTACATTTTAATCATTAGTACTATGAATGCAGTTTTTGACCTCACATTCATTGATTATTACTATTAGTTATAATAACAACTTGAAAACCGTAAAAGAAATGAAGACCAGAAATATACAGATTACCTTATACATTCATGCACAATTTTAAATTTTAATGTTCAAAAATAAATTTCATGTCCACATTATTTGACAACGGTGCATGTATAAACACCCAGACATCAATATCCTTGTGCATCTACAGTTATCTCCTTAACACACTCCATCGGCAGTGAGAGATTTACAGCTGTACTAACAGGGTGCAAGGAGACACCCACCTGCTGCAAACCGGGCCTCCTGCTCACCCTCGCTGAGATGGGAGTAGGATTTAAAGTGGGACTGCAGTGTAGCAGATGGAGGGTCTAAGGGCTTAGACCAGCCCTTCCACTCAATCAGATGAGCCACCCGACCCTGAGCCATGGCCGTGGGTTTGGTCACGTGATCTTTCACCACCTGTGAGATGCCTGGTAGGGAAAACACAGGGATTGTTAAAGACTGATTAACATGCATAAATGCTTATGATGATGCTACAGGTGTTTAAATCCTTACCATTAAATGATGATCTGGCCAGAGCTGCAATTTCCTGGATGCTAAGGGCTTTTCTTGACTTGGGGAGCATATCAATAGGGTCATCAACCTGAAGAAGCAAGTTCAAAGACAAAATGTTCTCTTTTTGCACTGTGTAGATATTTCAATATACCTTCATAGGAAGAAGCTGTTTAAAATAATTCAGTCATGTTTTTTATCAAACACTTATGCACAAATGATGAAACTCTGCATACGCAAGTTTAAACATATGATAAACATATGGATGGATTACTTACAATTTGCAGTCTGTTACTGATTACAAATTACATTATCAAATTTGTAGTCAGTAATGTAATATTAACTTTAAATCTCAGGGGGACTTCAAGTAAATATTTTAGGTCAAATCATGGGTTTGACAAACAAAAAAGTTTGGGAATCCCTGCATAACATGAACAAACATTAATAAACATTTCAACAAACAAAATTTTTCCAGGTTGAAATATTTTTTGTCAGTTATACACTGGCAGGAACTTTCATAATTATTCATCTCATATTTGACTAGTCCCCAAAATGAGAATCATGGATCGCAAATTACTTCACATTACATTTGCAAGTCCAATCTATATTGAGAATATGCAAAAGCTAAATAATATGACAAAGTAGAATTTTTTAGAAAGTAAAATTTAAAAGAGAAAAAAGAAGAATTAGGAAGAATCAATAAATTAGGAATAATGTACCGCCATTGTGTGAATAATACGTAACCATGTAGTCCATAGTAACTGTAATCTGATTATGAGCATTTTAAATATATAATCTAATAACAAGTACTACATTTTTGGAATCTGACTACATAATCCAGATTACATGTAACCAGTTACTACCCAGCACTTTGTGTGTGTGTGTGTGTGTGTGTGTGTGTGTATTAATATATTTCAGTGGGTGATAAAATGCATTATATATCATATAGATCCTTCTACAAAATGTTATCCACACATCCACACATTTACTATCCAAGTATTGCCTGTAACCTGCCTAAATACCCACTGCGGTATGTGAGGCCCTCCTTGGAAGTCACTGACGAGGAATTAACGGCCAATCACCAATTAGTTCTCTTACCTTATGACATCCCCTGACACGTTTCTCTTCCTGTATGAATGGACGCATCACAAACATGATTTTTCCAGTCAAGACAAAAGTACCAAACTACAAGAGCTGCACATGAAACTACAGGCTGTAAAGCCGGTGCTGACTCAAGCTCCACCTCAGAAACAGATGCCAAATCCAGAATTAACCCTTTGACAATTCACTTACACTCATCCAAGTTGAAGCATATGTTAGTTGCATGGTCTGCTCAAATGGTTCTGTGAGAGATCAGCCACACTGCAGCATTAATCAAAGCAGCTTATGGCTCAGACATATTTGGCCAATAAAGCCTCTTCCTGTGGCTTGTTAATTTGCAAACAGCATTCACTGCCATGTCAGATAATATTAGCCCTCAGCCCTCAAGATGATAATAAAAAGTCTGGCCACAGCTGGGGTCTAATGACCTCTGGCATTTGACATTAATGGGTTACATGATGGAAATCTGAATTGACAAGTGACATCCATCAGTTTAAAAAGAGAACTAACATGTTCAATGAGTGATGAGGTGACTATTTGTAGTCCTTGTACCGCAAAGCTTTCAGAAACACAGATCCAGTTTCTATTTTCATATAATAAGTTGAGGTGAAGTATTCATAAACCACCAAAACAAAAGTAGGCCACTGTGTCATACATAACATGCAGCATAACAGCAACATAACAGTGTAACAGACAGACAGAACACAGATAGATAGATAGATAGATAGATAGATAGATAGATAGATAGATAGATATACAATTAATATGTTCAATGAGTGATGAGGTGACTATTTGTAGTCCTTGTACCGCAAAGCTTTCAGAAACACAGATCCAGTTTCTATTTTCATATAATAAGTTGAGGTGAAGTATTCATAAACCACCAAAACAAAAGTAGGCCACTGTGTCATACATAACATGCAGCATAACAGCAACATAACAGTGTAACAGACAGACAGAACACAGATAGATAGATAGATAGATAGATAGATAGATAGATAGATAGATAGATATTCAATTACTACATAACTTACAGTGATTAATAATAATTACATAATTAATATGATGTAAAAAAAAACTGCATATATGTATAGGAATGTATAATATTATTACATTTAATCATTAGTACTATGAATGCAGTTTTTGAACTCACATTCGTTGATTATTACTATTAGTTATAATAACAACTTGAAAACCGTAAAAGAAATGAAGACCAGAAATATACAGATTACCTTATACATTCATGCATACATTCAGGCCACTGTGTCACATAACATGCAGCATTCGAGCTATATCCCTCCCAAGCCCTCCCAAAACCAAATCACACAGGTAGATCAGACATACACATGCCTGAAGTTGAAGTCTAGGACGCAGGTAGATATGCTTAAATCAGATTGCCCTCTAAAGCCCATAAGAAAAAGCTGCTACTGAAGAAGACTGCAGAGGCACCAGCTGCCTGCCATGTTTCAGTGCTGCATGTGGGTCAAATATTTCTGATTTCGTGATTTGGGGTTAGCCGTCATAGCAGAGAGAGAGCCAGACATGGGCCATGTTGATCGTAATGAGGTCAATTAAGCCTAAACCAGAAGATTCTGTCTTAATTTACTTCATTAACCTGGTATTATATGCTAATACCATGGTACTTTGATATGGTAATGATTCAGTACCGTGGTACTGAATAACACACACCCTGCTTATC